ACCTCTTTTACCAACATGAAAACTGTTACAGCTGGGATGATTAAGGTGACTTGTCAGCTATGTTGTCATCTCTGTGAATCACTGCTGAGTGCAAACATCTAGAGGGTTTTTTTTTCAGATGAGTTCTTAGTCAGGAAAAAAACCCCTATATTCTTTCCTTCAGTCTTGCCACAGGCAGAGCAGTAAGTGATGATTCTGAAGTTATCACTTAGCCAGGAGCTAAGCAAACTAGGTAATTTGCTTATTTACTGAAGCAAAATGTGAGATAGCAAAAGAGCTGTGACCTCACTGCCAGTGTCAGAGTCCAGAGAGCCAAGCTGGCTCCTGCTTTTGGGAGCCCAGAGGGTGCACAGTCCAGATTGGATCTGAGGTTGAAGAGCAGCAGTGTCCTCAGGGCTGCAGGAAGTTTGTCTCCCCCAGGACAGAAGCCTTGTCCCACTTCTGCCCCCTCTTCCTCCTCTCCCTTTTCTGTGACCAGAGGCAGAGGCCTGACCTTCTTGCAGCACTGCATCCTACTGGAAGCAGTTTTGCCTCCACTGGTAAGAAACCTTGGACAAACCTGAATAAAAGGGTTTTGGTTTTTTAAAAAATCACTTTGTGACAAAACCAGAAATTGAAACATTATCCTCTCCTATGGGGTGAAAACTCTGGAATTTGCTCTCTGTGGCAAAAGAACCACCGTGATGCTGCATCTCATTTCCTCATTTAGGTTTATGTCATATAGACTGCAAAAAAACCATAGCTCTGCAGCCCTTGTAAAGTGCTCTACAAATTTTATACACCACAAGTTTTAATAGTATTATTAAACCTCTTTTACCAACATGAAAACTGTTACAGCTGGGATGATTAAGGTGACTTGTCAGCTATATTGTCATCTCTGTGAATCACTGCTGAATGCAAACATCTAGAGGGGTTTTTTTTCAGATGAGTTCTTAGTCAGGAAAAAAACCCCTTTATTCTTTCCTTCAGTCTTGCCACAGGAAGAGCAGTAAGTGATGATTCTGAAGTTATCACTTAGCCAGGAGCTAAGCAAACTAGGTAATTTGCTTATTTACTGAAGCAAAATGTGAGATAGCAAAAGAGCTGTGACCTCACTGCCAGTGTCAGAGTCCAGAGAGCCAAGCTGGCTCCTGCTTTTGGGAGCCCAGAGGGTGCACAGTCCAGATTGGATCTGAGGTTGAAGAGCAGCAGTGTCCTCAGGGCTGCAGGAAGTTTGTCTCCCCCAGGACAGAAGCCTTGTCCCACTTCTGCCCCCTCTTCCTCCTCTCCCTTTTCTGTGACCAGAGGCAGAGGCCTGACCTTCTTGCAGCACTGCATCCTACTGGAAGCAGTTTTGCCTCCACTGGTAAGAAACCTTGGACAAACCTGAATAAAAGGTGTTGTTTGCTGCTGCAAAGCAGCTGTGAGGCAGAAAAATGGAAATGCGCACATAGGACGATCTCCTTTGCAAAACACCCTCATTAGTGTTGGAGCAGTTACCTCACTTTGCTGACTTAAAGTGAGATGGTACACAGCTTTCTTGTTGCAGAGACCTTTTGGGCTGAGATTGTCCATGGATGCCTTCACAGTTACCCTTGCCCAGTTTAAGTAACGCTTAATTCCTTTAGCTCAAAAATTATACGGTTCTACTTAAAAATAAGTGATACTAGCTTCAAATTTTCATCCCTAAAAAAGTCATGCAAATGGGACTGAAAAGATAGTTAGTTCAAGCTTTTGAAATAAATCCTTCTCATATCTGAGAATGAAGAGAGATCTGAAAAAGTGTTATCCTTCTCTAGTTTTAATTCATGACAATGATTTGCCTAAATTAACGCAGTTCATAAAGTCTTTCATATAGTATTGAATTCTTCAATAAAGTAACTGTTTTATATTTCAGACTCCATGCTCTGTAAGATATTGCCTTTTCTTGTGGTCCAGGGAAAATATGTAGATCTTCTGCTGGTTCCTCTTCCTAGAGGTGCCTTCTGTACCATAGAACAGTGTGTGTCAGGTCAGTGGATGGATCCATGGACCCACAGCAGTGGATGAGTGGAATAGCTTTAACCTCTCTTCCCTGGCTGCCCACAGTCCACAGCTAACTGTAGTGGCCAGAACAAGAGCACAGATGTTTTGGACCACTTTTGGACTTCTTCCAGAGGTACCACAAATAAGCATTTTTGCCATTGTTCATTCAAGTGAATTTGATTATTTTTCTGTCACTGACCAATAAATATGATCAACTTTTCAATGATCAAGACTTCTCAGTAATAGTCTTTTGAAAATAGCTCATGTTTTTTAGGCAGAGAACATTTAGATATGGACAGGTAGAAGGACTGCATGTAGTAGTCAGAAAGCAAATTGAGAATTTACAGTCTGACATGATGTGAGTGCATTTGCCTCACGCTATGCTTTGGTTGCTTATCATGAGTGGAGGCTGGTGGCTGGATGTGAGTCATCCAGCAAATATTGTTAATAACGTTCAGCATTGCCAGATTATGGGTCTAAGCAGAAGCATCCTTGACATATGTAGCCACTGAAATAGAAACAGGTGCCTGCTGCAAACCTGAGTACTGAGTTACAGAAACAGTCCTCTGGTGTGCACCTCGCTCCTGTACTATCAAAATCGTGCCAGACTTCTTTAATTATTTCTGTAGCATCTTGCAGAGACCTCAAAATTGTTTGTATGCAGCAAAAGAATTCCTAGGTTTGTTCACAACGGTTTTTGAAGTGGCATGTCATTATTTCAGAGAGAACGAAGTAATCACTGACACAAAATTATAGCTTCCCTGCCTAGAACAGCATTCCCTTCAAACAGGATGCCAAGAAAGTTGAAGCCTCCAAGGGTATTTATAACAGAAGGAAATACTGAGTTTGCTAGACAGAAATCCATGCTCTTAATATCTTTTCTGTGCTTTTTTCGCAGGCTGCAAAAAATGGTTTTGATAATATTTTCTGGTTATTCAGGTGCCCAGTTCTAACTGAAAATGGATTCAGAACCTGAATACTCTTCCATTTTCACTGATGGTCCATTTGCAGCTGTGACCCTCCTATCAACAGTACAAACAGCCTGTTGAAAATGGGGATACTGAAAGCCTCTGAGCCACTCTCTATGTCACTAACATGGTACAAAAGTACACAGACCAGAATGGATTTAAATATAAAATTTGAAAAGGGAGTAAGAATTTGACTGGTTAACAATGTGAAAGGCTGTTTCAAACACAGTTATCAAGCTGTGCACTAAGAAATGCAGAAGTGTCTTTTACATTAAGTCATTAGGGCAGATGATGGTAAGGAGCAGAAAATTATTCAGGGATGATGAAAAAAGAGTAGGCATTATAAAGCAAACTCCTGTCATTTAACCACATCATATCCTGGCAAGGCTCTTTGACTCAGGCAATTTTCCAGCTTTCAGGGTTTCAGTTTACATTTAAGAGGTGAACATCTGGCCTGTTCCAAAATGGACTGCTGAACTGCAGAAGTGTTGGTCAGACACATTTGATCATAGATACAGGTAAACAGCCTTAAGGAGTTGCAGACACTTTTCCCCATCACATAGTTTGTTTACCTAAGAGTTGAGTTTCATAGCTTCAGCACCTGTTCTTAAAGACTGTGCATTCCTTTAAACCTGCCACCAAGTCATAGGAGAAATCAGGTGCAAGTCTCACTTGCAGCCATCTAACTTGGCAAGTTTGAATGCAGATAGGAATCACCTTCAATTAATAAATGTGTGAAAATCTCATTTGCATTATCAATTAAAAGTGTTCAGAGGTTTTTATAGCTCTCAGTATTCAAGTTTGTGATAATCCAGGATTTCTATCAGTTTATCTCCTTTGTGAAATAAAAGCCAGATGTACGGAAGTTAGCAGTGGAGAAAGTGATTTTAAGGTAGTACTGTGCCATCATTTTATTAAAAAGTCAATTAAAAAATTCCGTTAAAAAGATAAGTGAAAAAATGCTAAGTGCAGTCAGCCATTCAATATTCACCCCTCAGCAAGATTCAAAGAGGACATTCATGCTTTTAAGTTTCTTTAACACTCTATTTCTTTTCCTCCTTGGAAGAAAGGCAATATGTTAACTTTCTGTAATGAGCGGTAGGTCAATTTTGTTTTTTTTCTTTTAACTATTAAGGCCTTGCTTATGAGAGAAAAATCACTTCAAAGTTGATCAAGATGAAATCTGCTTCAAGCAAACAGGTTTGAATTGAAAAAAATACTTCCCTGTATTTATGCATTTATACAGTGTTGGCATGGGAATATGGCAGTACATCTATACTTTTCCCCTCACTAATTTTGCCAGAGTTAGTGGTGGTGAAATGGCCAGAAAGTCTTAGGAGTTGTGTGCTCATTGGCTATGTCTGGTGTTATCCTCCTCCTGTACACTCTGTACACACAGAACACTCTTGCACAGCAAGGATTGCAAACTGGAGAATGTTACTGGGTGTTTTCTTCTTTAGCATGGAAGGCTCTTTGAGCTTCTTTGAGCTGTCAGCATGACAGCCACAGAAGAGGAGTATTGGCAGAAAGGTGGAGAAAAAAACCCCAAACCAGCCATTTCTGATGTTTAGATGGATTCCTGCCAGAACTGAAGCCAAATGTGTAGGGCCTGGGGAGCAGCAACTGCATCATGATGGACAAAGGCTGGGTTTCAGAGTGAGTTTGCAGTGAGCAGGAAGGTGCCAGTGGGAACGTGCTCAGGAAGGGAGGCTGCACCTGCAACCAGCTTCAGAAAGGCAGCACAGCAAGGCCAGCAAGAGCCAGGCACCTGCACCTCCTGCTGCAGACCAAGCAGGGGGACTTCATATCCCTTTCAGGCTAATATTTGAGTTGCACTATTTGCCAATACAACAAAAACAAAAACATTACTAACCTCACTAACCATTTATACTCTTATCTTTCCAGCAATCTTGACACAGAAGAGCTCTGTGGTAAATTCTTTTTTGGGTAAGAACATAATCTACGCCTGCAGCAGCCCTGTGCAAACAAACATGCAATGTGGTTTGGGTTTTTTTTCTGTTTAATCTTTGTAGCTCAAACAGAAAATAATTTCCACTCAGAGAACTCCTGAGAAAATGCAGATGGCTTATAATCTTTTCAGACTCTGTTATCCCCTATGTGCAGAATTTACTTTGAAAATATTTTTCCTAATCAGTATTTCACACTCTCTGAGATTCAAGATCTGTTCTGACATAGATAGATAGATAGATAGATAGATAGATAGATAGATAGATAGATAGATAGACAGATGGATGATAGATGACTTGCATTTTATTTCTCTTTAGTGTGAGATAATTTTTCTAGTTAGTTTCTCAATTTAATGCTTCTCATATACCCCACTAAAAGAAAATTCATTACTTTCCTCCTACTTGAGCCAGGGAGAACAGTAAGTTTGACAAGTTTGATGATCCTTTGTCACAATAAAACTCCTGCAAGGCCTAGATTTTGGCCCAATTACCCATTTCTGTACCTCATTCTGAGCTGTGAGTCATTCCCCCAGCACCCTGTTTGCTCTCCAGCTTATTTTACAGCACCTGATTTAGGAATGCTTCTTGCAGCAGAAAACAATTTACAAATATTTTTGCAGGTTTCCCCACAAAGTGTCAGAAAAAAAATCACACTTGTCAACACCAGTCAATTTCTGAGTGAAACATGGCAGCCTGATAAGTTTTCCAATGGTCAACAATGTTGAAGACCTTTAAAAGCTGAACGTACTGTCAAATTGAATACCAGATTGTTTACTCACCCACAGGGTGACATGGCCAAGAATCCACCAAAAAACACCTCACCCTGTGGCTTATAAATAGATGACAAGAGGCTCATCTGAAGTGAGCTGGGCTGTGACAGCTTCTGCTGGCCAAAACTGTGTAAACCTGGCTAAGGAAGAGAGGTGGTTTTGTAAATCCCCCAAGGGATTTACTGCAGTTGATGTTGCACTGGAGGTGCACAGGCTTGCTGGCTGGGGGGTGTCAGTCCAGCACTGGCTCTGTTTATTGTCTGTTTTAATTAAATACAGGCTGCTTCAAATGCCTTTTAAACCTTTCAAATGTTGCTGCTATGAATCTGGTGCTGAATTTACTCAATCCATATTTAAGCTTGTGAGTTACAGCTCTTTCTGAGTTATATCAGTTCATATCAGCAATGAAGCTAAAAAACATCCAGGGTATTAATTAATAATATGTTTTCATTCTAAATAATTTCTTTCATACTCACAGCAGAACCAGGTAATATCACAGTCTTCCTGGCAACTTCTATTTTCATGATTCAGCTGAGAAGCTCATGCTGACCTCTTAAAAGCTCCAAAGAGTTGCTATTTATTATTTCAAAAAGCTTCCATCTAATCTTCTTCTTCCCGCCTGCCATTTAGATGCTGATTTTTGTGCTCTTCCAGGTGATGTCTAAATGCCTTGTCTAACACCATCTCTAAGCTTTAACAAAATTCTATTTATTTATTTTTTTTTCACACTGCTTCCTTCCTGTGCTTCCCTCTTTTGTATTTCACCACATCAACAAAATGGGAACTGGGGTCATGATTTCCCATCTTTGCTTCCTCCTCTTGCTGTAATCCCTCTGATTTTACATCAGCTCTTTCTGTTAAGAAATCTTTTCCTTTGAGACACCCTGAAATTTGCTATTTCCATGATTATCATTAAAAACAATTTTGCATACATCATATTTGTTGAAAATACCTCAGCACCCGGGACTAGAAGTCCCAACTCATGGTCTCTTCATGTCACAGAGAGACAACCTCTCTCAACCAAACCTGGCTCATAACAGCCCCACTTGATATTATCTCCTCTAAGGGCTTTACCAGAATTATTCATTTTTGTATCAATATATTCAATTGTATCAATATATTCAATACCACATACATATGAAAACTTCATTTTCTGCTAGTAATTGAAGACTAAACTAGACGAAAATTAGACTACAATTTCAGTTTACAGAGAAGATATAGATATTTTGGAAATAAGTTTGCTTCAGCTGTCAAATTGATATTTACATTTTTTGTGAATTTGGTAACACATTTATGGAAAGAAAATGTTTTGAGATACTGATTTAGATATTTTAAGTACACCAGGAATGATTTTGCAGAGGAAAAGTACAAAATTTAAAACCAAAATTATTCTTTTCATTGTAATTCCTTTCATTTTGTATTTAGATATTCAATAATGCCATAACTGAATTCAGACTTGATAAAACTGATATTTAACAAAATATTGGTTTTCAAGCCATTTGTAGGCCATTTGATGGGGGATTTTTTCTTCTTTCAGATTATTTTTCAAAGCATTTAGAAGAATATGAAAATGTTCTCTCTGTCTTGGAAGACTTAAACATAACCATACTGAAGGCAATGGACAAAACAAAGAAAGTAAGTAAAAATTGTGAAATTTTCTTTACATTGTATATTTTGTTTGTTTGGAGTATTTTTGGTAGTTTTCTTATCTGAGTTTACTAGTTCATATTTAAGTTCTTCCAAATATACATGTTTGTAGCAAAATCCAGTCAGAAAAGTTTTGTCAAAATGGTTGTATATGAAATCTTTAAAGTCTTGTCTGCAAAGTATTGCAGTTTGGATATGTGATTCACAGAGACAAATTTGTCTCAGTGAATGGTCTGAAGGATGTTCTTTGCATTGTTGTACGAAGAGGGTTCTATGTCCTCTGCCAAACGTGGGTAAGTATCAGCAGCAGCATTTGGAAACAGACCAAATCTGAAAAATTAACGTGGTGGGTTGAGCAAAACCTCCTGGCCAAGAGCAAGATTTCATTTCCATTTGGGGCACTTTAAACAAAAGCAGTGGTCACAGAGCCTGCCAAGAGGAGGTGTCAGGGCTGTTTCCCACCAGCACAGCAAGGGGACCTTTACCCTGGAGGGAGGAGAGGTTTCTCAGGGGAGGAAGGTTGGTTTCTCCACATGCACATCTCACTGGGAATGTGGCTGTGCTGCAGGACACGCCAGGCAGCCAATCCACCTGGCACTCAATTCATTACAGCACTGCTCCCATGCTCAGACCACATCCCAGCTCTATGCCTGACCAAAAGTGCCTCGATACGTTGGGTGATTCACTCCTCCTCCCTGGCTGAACGCTTAAATATCCTGTGCAAGGTGGAACAGCTTCAAAAGGTGAGGGAAAGAACAAAACAGGGAAGTGAACTCAGATCCTCCAAACCCAGCCACAGATCCACACCAAGTTAGTCATCAAAACCAGAAATTTCAGCAAAAATTTTTCAGTGAGACCCCATGGGGTCAAAAAACCCTGGGATGTTTTTCTTTTTCAGTCAATCAGTGGAGAGATCAATGTGAGGAAAGCTGTGCTTCTTCAGTGAAGCTGCTATCTTTGGTATTTGGGTGTTTGCAGGAGTAAAGTACTCATACATTTTACATAACCTGCCAAAATAAAAACCCAAAAGTGTAGCTTGTTTGTAATTATGTAGATTATTTACAGCCTGAACCAGGAAGCTGAATATCTCTTCATTCATGCTGTGCATCTTCCACTGCAAATGAAGTGAATGGGCACTGACTCACTGTCTTGTTGAGCTGGATATTAAAAAGCAACAGATTGCACATTTTTTTAAAAATACCCATGTGTATAAAATACTGCTGCTGAAGGGCAGGACATCTTCTCACAACAACTTGAAGTAAATAAGACAGTATTTAAAAATTACTTCAGAAGTTAATTACAAGGAGAAGTCCCAGCAAAGTAATGAGATTATAAAATATATGTGCTGGCCTGACTAGAAATATGGACAAGAAAATCTGCAATATTAATAAGTGTTTCATTTGTCTATTTGAAGAACCCATCTAAAATATAATCAAATCACAATTTCTTTGAATTTTATTTTCTTAACTGAAGATTCAAGCCTAATGGGTTTTCCATCTTTCAGGAATCCTTCAGCTGACTATTTGTTAGAGATGGCAGAAATAGAGCAAGGCTAATACTGGAAAAGCACTTTAAATTCCATTTAATAGAAACTGTGTGTGAACATGGTCAAACAAAAAAGGTGGTTTTTGAACAAAAAATATTCTAAAGTAGAGCTTTCTGCCGAGGATATGCTCAGCCACTACAGCTTTGTATGGAAATTAAATTTTCATTTCAAAATTTGGATTGTTTTCAACAAGAACTTAGTTCTCAGGAAACAGATATGTTATGCAATCTCATTACCTGATAAATACCTGGAGTGCAAATATTAAAATTCTTAAATAATTCAAGTTTTACTGAAGTTTGTGGTCTAAAATCTGCACTACAGCCATCTAAAATCAGAGCTGGAGGTGCAGCAAAGGTTAATTAGCACACTGAGATAGCATAGTGGGTGATGTCCAAGATGTGAGGCAGCTCATAGCTCAAGCTGATTCTTGCTCATGCAAACATATGTTCAGAAATGGTTGGTCTGGTTTTAAATGGCCATTGACATGCATCCCAGGCAAGACCTGGGTTTCCTCTCCTAGTGCAGCATCAAACTTTGTCACCATTCTGCCACTGCAGCCATTGAGTCCCTTGAACAGCCACTGAGTAGTACAGCATTTATTATTGTCTTCTAAGTGATGCCCTAGTTGGAAAATTCATATATAGAAAAGAAGTCTGGAATTGAAGACCTACACTGCAAGACCCACCAGTACAAGGTGTATCTACAGTGGCTGAGTCAGTTTCCAATGACTCAGACTAAACTTCCAAGGACTAACTTGTCCTATTAAAAAAAAAAAAAAGAGTAAAGACTGAGGAGATTGAATCTGAACTCTACCCTGCAAAGCATGGAACTGATTACAGTCCTAGCCCTCAGAGTTGCCTCGAGCTTTCCATCCCCTCTGACTTTGTGGATTAAAGAAAACTCAGCACTTCTAACCATCAGTCTCCGCTAAACTTCTCCAGAGTGTGTTCCACTTCAGGTGGAGAGCTCATTCATTCTTAAATATTTAGTGGGGAAAGGAGCAACTTGGTACTTTTATTGATTTTAGAATCAGACAAAAAAACCACCTCTTAGTCTTTCCTAAAGAAAATCCCTATCAGATAAAGTTGCCCATATCCAGTAAGTACTTTGCACAAGAGGCAGCTGCAGAATTGAAGCCCTAGAAAAACTCTTCAAGATCAACAAAATTGTCCCCATTGCTCCAAATGATTTCCACGTCTAAGTATTTTTCCCCACAGATTAGCAGAAGCCTTGCTCCTGCAAGGCAGTTTCGGGATGATTTCTGTGTATTTTATTGCCCTCTGTAGCTTGAAGAGCTGTCAGCACAGCTTTCTTGAACTGAGTTTTCTCCAGCCTTCCAGTCCTCTGCTATCTGAAAGTGAAACCATCATCATGTCTGGCAGAAAACATTCCAGTGTGCAGTTCAAGAAGCTTTGACTTCCTTTCACTGTTCTGGGGCCAGATTCCTCCTGCAACCACACCAAACAGCGCCTGGGAGACAGGAAGCCCTTGAGGGTGTAGGAACCTTTCATGCTCCATTGCTTGATGGAAGGGTGATAAGCTAAAAATGCAGAGAAATCAATTTCTCCATGAACATATTTCAGCAGGGAAAAGACTGAGTTGCATTTACAAGCAATATACTTCAATACAAACCCCATCTAACCAGAAGATGGTTGGGGAGCTACAGTCTCTCTGTTTTAGTACTGTTTTCCCTGTGTTTTATCCTTTCAGCAGGAAGGAAAAACATCTGAGGAGTTTTAGAGGGATTTGTGGCATTTGATATTGGATCATTTCTCTCCTTAGGATGGAGAGTCTGGATGAGTTGCTTATGCTGGAGTAGTGAGGACAGGTTAATCTTTGGTGTTCCTTTGTTTTCTTGCTCCTGCCAAGTTGATGTTTTCCAGATCAAAGTACTATCTGGATAGTTCTGTTTATTGCATTTCTTCATCTTACATACAGGAAGCATTAAAAGTTAAAAACTCAGAAAAACTTTACAAATGCATTCTTTAGGCCTTTTTTTTCCTGACATCTTTTATAAAGCACATTTAGTTAAAATACTTAATCTTTTTTATTACCCACGTGAACATAACACTTCCAGCAAGCTGCATTTTTATTACATTCTCTAGCTTGCAGTCACAAATAAATATAATTAAGAAACATTTTGCAACCCACAGTTCTGAAAATAAAATCTGTCACTGAGTAATGATGTAGATAGATAAAAATAGACCATTTGCTTAAAGTGCTTGACATCTCAGTTCGATTGATTCGTGAATATTAAAAATCAGAAACTTAGATATTAAAGAACATGTCTTCCCTAAATTACCAAGCTGTAAGATTGTTGCTCTTTGTCAGCTATTTGGTAAGAACAAGATTTTGCTCTATAATTTTTATTTCTGGTATTGCTATAGTTTATTGCAAATGTAACTTTCTGCTGGTGGAGAGCTATTTTGTACCCAATAAAGGTAGCAAAGGCCCATGTAATCACCGAAAATCTAATTTCCATATGAAATTAAATTGACAATATAAAAATATTTAGGGGTTTAAACAGTTATCTAAAAAGTTATTTTTATCTTAAAAGTTATCTAAAGTTATTTTAGAAGATCTGGGATATTCAGGGATGTCCAAGATGTCTCCACAGGTCTGACAAATAGCACAAAGGACCCCTAGGAGACCCAGGGGCAGGATGAGACCTCCTCCTGGGGCAGCAGCTGGACACCAGGTGGGTCTTTGTAGGGCACCAACTCCAGTTTTAGATACTTGAATAGCACCGAGACCTTTGAAGGGTTTTTACCCCAGAGGAGCCATCTCTCAGAGGAAGAGCTGGTGATGCTTACCCTGATCCTACAGTATCTTTTATCAGTCCTTGCATCCATTTGAAGTTCACTTTTTCATTGGCTGAAGAGCACGCCCCTCTCTGCCTGACTCCTGCCTTCAGTTTGTGTTGGTGAAGTCTAACCACGGAGGGCTGGTGGCCAAGTGACTGTGCCAGGGGGATCTCAGGATGGCACACACTCCCTGCTCCACCATTTCAGTGCCTCTTGGCTTGGGCCTCACCTGCTGGTCTGCTGTGGCACTGACAATGGTCTTGACACAGAGAATGTCAGCTCTTAACTTACTGGAGCTGGGGCTGAGGCTGTTGGCACTGGCACAATGGTAAAGTGGTGGGAACTGGGAATCACTGAGTGTGGCAGAGCTGCTTCCTCAGGACAGCAACACCACTGACCACGTAGTTGTTTCTTTTCCTCGCAAGTGCAGGGTTTGTTTAGCACTCACACTCACTCAGCCTGGGACCTACCTCAAAAGTGACTTAAGACCATCACAGCTTTTGTAAATGTGATCCAACCTCCAGCAACAATAAGCTTCATATCCGAGCTGCTACTTAGATTATATTGGTTATATTTATTACTTTCAAAAAGGAAATGAAATTTCATTTAATTTCAAAAGGAAACAGTGCTATAGGTTC